CTGCAGCAGCATCCCCCTACACTGCCCCCCTCCAACAATATGGAGGCCATCATGGCCATCAAAAGGGCTTCTGCGATGTAGCTTTACCTACCTTGTCAAGTGATGAGGAGATTCATTTGCATTAGATCCCAGAATCAAGCTTTTAAAAACCTATTTTAAGTTTAGCACTAAAAAAGATCCTTCCCACGTTACATTCATGCACAGCCTCATCCACTGTGTGTCTCTGTTAAATGTCTTTAAGCTGAATTTGATGACTTAAGATTGATTTATGTTTTAGTTTATATTAAATAATATTGACCACTAGAGATTTTTTCAAAGTTTATCTTGAGTTTTAAATGGATTTGGATTATATTAAATCACTCTTTGTGTTACTAATATTGGTTTAGCTATAATTTTATGTGATGACATCATAACGTCACTCCCACTCCCCATGTTTTCAGACCTTAATTGAACCATGATCTTATCTTTGGTGATAAGCACTAAGTTATTGTTGTATCATTGAGCGTTGGTACCCGCCTTTGGAGAGTTGATGCTAACCTTCCAGTGGTTGAAGGGTTAACAACCAGTGGTAAAATATCAGTTATGTATAACAGTAAAGCGTGACAGGCTTGTTTTTCTTTCTTGGCCTGTGTCGTATTCCTGAGGTCTCCATTATTTGGCCAAATAATGTTTTATTAAAAGATTTGCATAATCAAGAACCAGTAACCTTTCAACATATTCTCATTATCAGTGCATATGAAATCGTACGAAAAGTTATGCACACTATTTCGTACGTTTTGGACGTTTTTCCTCAAAAAACATCCGCGGACGGACGTAAAACTGGGAAAAACAGTGCAAAAATCACATATTCATGTCTCTAACTACGTTGCTTGCTGTTTTATATCTTAGGGTTAGGTGTAGGGTTAGGGCTAATTGTAATTTATATTCTATATTCGTGAATGGTGCGTCAGATGCGCATGCGCATATGACGAAAAAAACGTCCAAAACGTACGAAATTACGGTGCATAACTTTTCGTACGATTTCATACGCACTCATAATGAGAATAGGTTGAACCTTTAGTGAAATGATTCCTTACCCTCTTTGAAATAGCTAGCAGGGAATAGACATCAGGATTCCATTACATGACTCTTGGTTGCAGAGGTCTTATAGGTGCTTGTTCACCAAACTTGTATCTTCTTCTCTGATCATCATGTCCAGATAGAATATGGACACTGGTTCACAATCTCCAAAAACTGTGATCATGGCATATGACACAACAATGTTTTAATGTTAGCTGTAAGAATCAAAGCCACTTTGATGAAGCTGTGTATGTTGAAAGTGGTTCATTTTCACATTTACACAAAACATCTTTATGTACAAAAACCAAATGGTGGTCCTGATAAAGGCCACAAGCTTATAAAGTTGTTTCCAAGTTCTTCAAGCATTGCTGCGGTCACACTTAGAAAGAAAATCACAAAAGTATATAGAATACATTTTTGATACAAAGGCAGCTGTTTTGGTGAAATGTGGAAGTATCTAGATCAGCAAAAGGTTTCTTTTTGTTTACCATTTTTTTATTATTATTCTCCAACAGCTTCCAAGGAACCAGAAATCAGGATGGTTCTTATTGGGAAAACTGGAACTGGAAAGAGTGAAGCAGGAAACAAAATATTAGCGAAAAAGGCTTTTGAATCTAAAATCTCCTCGAATTCAGTAACAGTCACATGTGAGAAGAAAGAAGAAAGTTGTTCTGATGGTCAGAAATTGGCTGTAATCGACACTCCAGGTCTGTTTTGTACTAAAAAACCAAACAGAGAAACACTGATAGAGATTGCAAAATGCATCAGCATGGCTGCTCCTGGACCTCATGTGTTCCTGGTTGTTCTCCAGCCGACACGATTCACAAAAGAAGAGCAGGATACAGTGAAAATGATCCAAACATGGTTTGGAGAAGAAGCTTCCAAATACACCATGGTTTTATTCACTCATGGAGAGCTGCTGAGGAAGATGGGAGAAGGAGAGGCAATTCAGAAATTAATCAATGAGAATAAAGATCTCTCTGACTTTATTGAACAGTGCCATGGACGATACCATGTTTTTAAGGATGAAGAGAAGAGTCCACTTCAAGTCACAGAGCTGCTGGAGAAGATCAACCAGATGGTAACAGAAAATGGAGGAAGCTACTACACCAATGAAATGCTCGAAGAGGCAGAGGAAGCAAATAGAGAAGAAATGGAAAGACTTCTGAAGGAAGATCCAGAGATGAGCCCTGAAGATGCAAGAGAAAAAGCAGAGAAAGACAATTCATTCATTCGGGGCTATGTAGCAGGAGCTGGTGGTGGAGCTGCTTTTGGAGCTGGTGCTGGAGCGGGGTTTGGAGGACCAGTAGGAGCTGCAGTGGGAGCTGCAGCAGGAGCTGCAGGTGGTGCTGCCTTGGCTGCAGCATATGAAAAGAGGTCTTGCATTGTACAGTAATTGCCCAGAATTCATTATTATCATTCAGATGCTGCTTCTAAAAGCCTCATTATCGAGAACAGATGGACAACAACAAAAACATATTCATGACACTCAATTTGTGCCAAAACCATGTTGGAGTGTTGTTTGTGATCAAATCTAAATCTTCTGACTTTTTCATTAAATGTTTAATGTTTATCCTCCTTTGTATTAATTTTCTCTTAAGAGCTCCTTTATTGTTCCAAAAAAAATTAAAAACAATTTATGTAAACCTCAACATATCATTTATGTTAAGACTAACCAATAAAGGAGCTGGTGAAGTTTCTTATTCATCCAGGTCATAGCCATTACAAAAAAATGAAAAACGATCCACTGGACTTGTTTGAAGACGTTTAGCTTCCCATCCAGGAAGCTTTTGCAATTCAAAATGTGAACAGAGCGCCATTCCTGACATTCTGAATTGAAAAAGCTTCCTGGATGGGAAGCGAAACGTCTTCAAACATGGAAACCAAGTCCAGTGGATCGTTTTTCATTTTTTTGTAATGGCTATGACCTGGATGAATAAGAAACTTCACCAGCTCCTTTATTGGTTAGTCTTAACATAAATGATATGTTGAGGTTTACATAAATATTTTATCTGTTTTATCAAAGACGCTAAGTAATGGAATTTGTTGATTCAATTATACATTAATTCCTCAAAACTTTAAGGGACTTTATAATCTACCAATAAACACAAACCTGGTAAATTATTCTGTGTTTGTACCTTTATTGTGAATTATCCTCAAATCTCAGATTGTCCCATAGTGTCTGAAGCTCTGTCCTCTGCTGATGTCCTTCTGTTGTTTTCAGAATCAAAGCCAGAGGCTGACCTCAGAGTGATGCTGGTGGGTCAGGAGAGAGTTGGGAAGAGCTCAGCAGGAAACACCATCCTGGGAAAAGGGGCATTTGACTGTCATGTCAGCTCCATCCCTGTGACTCTGAGCTCTCAGAGGATGGAAGGAGAAGTTCTGGGTCGCAGAGTCTCTGTGGTGGACACCCCAGGGCTCTGCAGCTCCAGTCTTTCTGAAAAAGAGATCAAAGAAGAGCTGGAGGAAGCTGTCAAGCAGAGCTCTCCTGGTCCTCATGTTTTCCTCCTCGTTCTCCAGTTAGGGAGGTTCACCAAACAGGAGCAGGAAGGGCCAATGATTCTGCAGAAGATTCTGGGTCCTGAGGTCCTCAAACACACCATGATCCTGTTCACCTACGGAGATCGACTGAAAGACACTGATATAAACTTGGATCAGTTTGTTAGAGAGGATCAGAACCTGCAGAAGCTGCTGAAAAGCTGCAGTGGGATGTACCACGTTCTTAACAACAATGAGGTGGAAAACAGGAAGCAGGTCCAGGAACTGCTGGATAAAATAGATCAGGTCTCAGATGGAGGTAGAAAGTATTATGAGAAAGGTTCTCAGTCTGATGGAAGGTGGTTTGGAAATATTTGCTCATTTCTTCAACAATCCACCCTCAATGTTTTTTTTTCTGTCAGTTGGTTGTTTGGAAACCTTTGTTCATTTTTTCAACAATCTACCTTCTGTCTTTTTCTTTTTGTCAGAAGTTTGTTTAGAAACATTTGCCAATATCTTCAAAAAATACCCTTCCTTAAAAAAATTTTTATATTCTTATTTATTTTATTGGGGGCTTACATGTTGAGATATGCAGATCTGATCTTTATGAATCACTTTATAAATGGTAGTAGGAACACAACAGAAGTTCAGCATAACAATGGCAAACATCCTAATAATGGTTAAATGGTGACCATATCAGCTAAAAAGAACTACATTTCTATAGATCAATCAATTTGTTACTTTATCCTTTTTTATTACAACACATTTTGATTATTTCCATGCTTTTCTTTTTTTCTAACCATGTTTAGCCATTGAGACACATTAGGTTACATCTCAAGCTATTTTCTTGTTATTGGATTTCTTCATGGTATCAGCTGTTCTTTGGTTAAGTATCTATTTATCTATCTTTTTTTTAAAATAAATATTAAAAAATTCCATGGTCATAATTTTACATTCTCTATGTATTATATATCTTATGTAATACTTAGTATTACATTGTAATACAACAATGTATCTAGCTACAAGAGTAACTCTAATATATTCAAGTCCATGCTTTGATTTCAAAGTAAATTATTAATAGATGTAGAATACTTAATATAAGACTTCTGAAATTATTTCTATTTTAGTAAATTAGGAAAATATGTTTATTTTCTCCATTTGAATAACCTTATAAAAGACAGGAAACTTTTTGTTCTGTCAGATGATTTCATATTGTTATGGGAACACTTTTAAGTACACCTATTGAAAGTAAGAGAGAGAGAGAAGGATGTATATAAAGCCAGCAGTGCTTGAAGTTTACCCTCTAAGTTCAAGGGATCAATAAAGTCTGCATTTAGTCTTTATTTAATTTATGGTTGTTGAAATGTATACAACTGCATGAGTAACAAGCTAAAAAGGGATAGAAGTATTGGGACTGATGCAGCTTCTGTTTATTCAGAAAGTGTTTTCCATTTCTTTTACATGACTGTCATGATATGTGGGGATCTTACTTTTCTTTATTTCTGTCAGTGAACAACAGTCTCTGGAAAGTTACTTCCAATATGTACTATATTCCATTTGTCAAGTTACCTTTCATAGAGAGTAATATGTTGGGGAGTTTTAGCCTAATGGTTAGAGCAGTGTGCTTGTGCTCTGAGAAGGTTGCAAGTACCCAGTTCAATCCCCACAGTTTGTCGGACAAACTTGCCTCCATTTCCTCACCACCTTCGCCGTGTCTAGACCCACACAGCTATTTTGTGATTTTCCCCTTTTGCGTTGTGGCGTGGAATAAACATAGCACAGACCACGCTTGAATATTGAGCATAAATCAAAAATGTCTGCATCATACCTGCAACAAGCTCACTGCGACACACTGCTGCGGGAGTATAACCAACCTTTTAGTCCACTGCTCCCCAAGGGGATGGGTCAAATGCAGAGATACATTTCTCCAATGTGAGATTAATAAAGTTCAAAGTGTTGTCATTTTAAGTTCAATGCCCATCCAGCTAGGATGTTATATTAATGTTGGGATTTTCTATTTCTGATCATTTAAGATGACAATTGTCCTCCCCGGTAGGGGTGGTAAAATATCTTATTTAATCAGATATTCGGCTGTTATATATTGTTTATTAACACACACCTTACTAGCTGTGTGTTAGAACAATAAATAAAATAATGATTCCAGTTCTAATCATGGTCAAACAGTTAATTCTGCACATACATGGAATAAATTTACCAAAACTTGTTTTCAAAATATAAGAGTTTATTAACAAAAATCATTCATTTATATGATCAAATTAACTTTTCACTAATTTAGTGAAATTGGAATGTTTTCAGACCAACTTACAATGCAAATCTATGAGGTGAATAAAACATAATTTGGCCAAATAATGTTTTATTAAATGATTCGCCTAATCCAGTAACCTTTAGTCAAATGATTCTTTACCCTCTCTGAAATAGCTAGCATCGAACAGACATCAGGATTCCGCTAAAATACTCTTGGACATACTTGTTAATCAAAATGTAATGAGCATCTGAGGAACACATGAACACTAATGTTATATTAGTGTTTAAACACTTTTGTGAAATAAAGCTTGTTCAAGCTTCAACAACAGCTCAACACAGATTTCTGTAGCATAGCATAGCATGCAGTGCATCCTGTTAGCTTTGTCTTCACTCATCAGTAAACACGTGATTGTCATGATGTTACAAAGTTCAGACCCAAATGCAGAAAACCGAACAGAGTGACCAGGGAAAAGGTTTAATGGGTTTTATTGAAGAGGTTAAACAGAGGGAGAAGTGTTGCTCTGAACACTGCTCAACCGGACCTGCAAAGTGAGGGGAAGACACAGCGGTTAGTTCAGGCTCAGTGGGGAATTTGACTTGTGAACTTGGAGAAGAGGATTTGGTTGCCGACTCACGTTTCCAGAGAAGTTGCTGAATCCTTGACTCCTGTCTGTGTGCCGTGGTTCCAGTGTTTGAGAAACTGACTGCCTCTCAGATTTCCTGCGGTACTTGAACGTGTCGTAGTGGAGAATAATCCCTTTCTCAGTGAGAAGCTCAAACGATCTCTTGGGGAAAGTGGATCTAAACCTCCTGTTTGAATCCCAGCTCAGTTTGAAGCTCAGTCGATCCGAAGGTCAGAGAAATCCAGTTTGCAGGATGACTTCCTGCTGAGAGGCAAAGACAAAAGAAAGTTAAACTCAGGTTGACAAAAACTCAGTTTGACTCAGCAAAAACTCAGCTTGGCTAGAGTACCCAAAACTGGCAAACACTCTGGCGTCGAGGTAGTGGCAGTCAGCAGCTTAAGAACACTCCGTCTAATGAGGAAACCATCAGCAGGTGTGTGAGGAGGCAGACCAGAACCAGGCACCTCCTGGTGGATGAAGGGAGACAAACACAGACACACAAACACAAAAACAGGAGTCCTGACAGTGATATGATTAACATCATCAAAAGACATATTGTTTGTTCTGTCCCAAATTATGCCAGACCTGCAAACCTTTTTTTTCATGTCCATTTGGAAAGCTTGAGTGTCATTCAGCTGCAGCTCAGCTTTAAGGGCAGCAACCAGGGGTTCTTTGTCTCAGTGGCACACAGCATGGGTTCTCTTTGTCTCAGTCGTTCATCAAGAGAGGGTTGGCCTACTCTCCAGTCTGGCTCTATTAGTTGTGAAACTCAAGAGAAATGTGTTGTTAAAGGTCTGTCTTGCAGTAGTTTGGTTCTGAAAGTTTACCACAATGACCCACCCTTGATGAATCTGGAGGTCTGGGTCTCCTTGGGACCGCATCTCCACTGTGGTGGAGAACTAGCCAAGGTGGACCCCAGCTTCATGGGCAAGGGAGAAGAGGCAAAGAGGGGAAGAATTCTGTGTGCTCTGTGGTTTTGTCTGTCCATAGATAGAGGGGGGTGGTTCATCACATCTCTGTAGCTTACCATGTGATTGGCCCGTGGAGGCCAAGATGAAATATGGACACTGGTTCCCAATGTCCAAAAAGTCGAAAAAGTATGATCATGGAATATGGCACAACAAAAGTTTCTTTACAATCTTAGCATATTTGCAAAGTAATATGTAACTGATTACTTTTTAGTTACTTTAGAAGATGGTGTGCATTATTTTGTCATGAATAGCTAAGTTCACAAAAATAAAATCATAAAGAATAATTAAACAAGAATAACCTTAACACAACATGACACATGTTTTGGCAAAGACTTAAAGTTTATACTGTATGTATATATACATTCATATACATTTTGGCATTAAGGGGATCAATAAATTAGACTTAGACTCAACTTTATTTATCCCTTGGGATTACTCCTTCAGGGAAATTCCGGTTCCAGTAGCTTATATAGGGTACAAAGACTTTTAGCAAGATTCCATTAAAAATAAAAATATGACAGACAATATAAAGAGTGTATTTAGTACCAAAAAATCATAAAAAAAGAAAACTGTTGTAATGTCCTTGAATATGCATCCTTTATGCATAAAAAACATCTCCACAGTAGAGAGCTAAGGGTAGTAGTTGACTTAGGTTATTGCTTTTGAGCTGCAGAAATGTACTAAGTGAAAATTAAACGTACCACACGGTAGTTCAGTTGTATTATTGCACTTGTACTGCAGAGATGTTTTGACCTTAGAAATAAGATTTTTTTAAAATTACACAGGCTACGCTGGGTGCATTTCTTCCATCACTTCTTTTTCTGGGTCCTCGGACTGCATTTCACCTTCATCAATCTCTCCAGGTTGAACATAACTCCTGCCGGTTGGGTCATGACTGGATAGCAACAGGCTCTGTGCGTTATCTGACCTAGTCCTTTTGTGTTTTTTCTCCCAAACTCCATTTTTGAAATAGAGCTTTCTGTGGTCGTAATACTGTGTATTAGAGAGTTCAGTGTCGCAATGTTTACAGAAGCGCCGAGGTCTTTTCTTTTTTGTTAGAGCTTCCATCTTTCAACTGACTACCTTTTTTACATTATAGACGGGAGCTCTTCTTCTCTTCTTCTTCTTCTTCTTCTTCTTCTTCTGTTTTGTAATAGCGGTTGGCAAACAATTTATAGGTGCATTACCGCCACCTTCCAGAATGGAGTGACGCGAGCTGTTCTCGCGAGTCCTTCCGTATAACAATGACGTCGTATGTGATTGGAGGAGCCTGATGAGCCTTCGACTCCTCGTCCAATCACCTGTGAGCTTTTGTGCACTACTACTACTCGCAAGACCAGCATATAAGCAGACATGTTTGTGTTACTATACTCAGAAGAACTTCATCTCCAGTTCCTGTGTTTGGATTTTGCTGGTACGTGAACAATGGCTGCACGACATCTCGCGTTCAACTCGCCTCCAACTGCTCTTGGTCCACAACTTTCGGCCAGTCCGCAGACTGACGAGAAGAAACTGCTGATTGCTATCAGTGGACTGTCTCATCAGCTTACCCAACACACTGCCGACATGAATGAGCGGCTCACTCAGCTGGAGAATTCGGTACACTCCAGGTTGCTGTCCATAGAGGACAAGATGGCGGCT